ATCTTCATAGTAAATCTTTGCAAGCAGCAAAGTAAAACCTGAGTTTTTACTGACCTATTGTGATAGCATTTTTTTGTCAAAGTGCTTTTTAAGAATTGAAGTATTTATTATCTAGTACTCAGATGAGATAAAAAAAGAAGGCGCAGGTTTGTGATAATTTAATTTGAAAAATAAACAGATTTATTGGTTATGAAAAAAATAGTTAACAGATTTTCTCTTTCTATACTGATCTACTTCTTTTTGTAGGATTAATATGTGTTGTCTAGCGGAATAAGCACGAGAGATTTATGAGCTAACAACACAATAATAGTACTTAGCACGCCTTTTACTAACGTCTAGTTGTTACGCAAACCTGTACAGCATAATTTTTAGGGATATGAGGAATAAGAGTAGGTAATAGTACCACGATTAAATACCTGATAGCGAAGCAGAATACAAAATTGGGAGGTAATGCTACGCGATGTTTCCTGCATTTCTTAAACAAAATGTGTACATTTACAGAAAAATTGTTATTAAAAGAAATAAATATGTCAAGTAGAATGTCTTTATAGATTGAAGGTTTTTTATATGCTATTTTATTATTTTTGGTAAATAATCTTCGTAATATTCAAAGTTTGTAAATCACTTTTTTATGCGTCAGATATTGTAAAATCACCGGCCAGCTTTGACGTTGCTTACTTCTGAAAGCATTAGGCAAAACAATTACTATACTGAAACCAGAATTTCAAAGGTTTATTTAACTTGAGGAGCTAAGATTGTTTATACAGCAAATCTTAACTACATGAAAGGAATCACTTTTAGAGCCGCTTAAGCAGTATATAATACGATTCGTTTATGCACCAAATATATACAGGCCAGCGATGCCCTGGAAACCAAATAATGTGCATTATATCGACAGTTGCGCCAAAACATGCTACTTTGCTAAAAACTGTGTCGGATTCCAGTGGAAAAACGAAATTTGTATTTGTTATGCTTCACTTTCGCACGGTTTAGCATTGAAAAGACTTGATGTGTGGTTAAGAAGACAGCCTCTGACAGAGGAAGGTGCTTTTATTTTTATTTTGATTTAAGAGAAAAAGACCAGATGTATAGTAAAACAAATTTTTTTCAAATTCCTTTTTTTTTTTTTTTTGAAGAAGGTAGAAGAGATTCTCGCAATTTCTGTCTCGTTTTTTATTGCTTGAATCAATATTTTCAGCTATGAAAATAGATTTTCCACATTTGGTTTACGCACCAGGTTATTATATTCCGGCACCAGCTAAAAGTTATTTTCGTATACGTGATATTCAAATGTGCGCGCAAATGTGTTTTGAGACTCCAGCGTGCATAGCATTCAGGTATTCAAGTAGAACTTGTCTTCTTTTTCCGTCTCTTGACAGTGGGTTATCTCGTATATACATTCGAGTCTGGGAGAAAAGACCAAATTCCAGAGGTAGGAACGACTTTTTCATAGATTTCTCGTTGTATCTTATTTTAATGATGATCATCCTAGGATAATATGTTCGCTAAAGTTGTTAATTCTAACACAAAAATTTCATAGCTGTCTCAATTCCAACAGTAAAAACTTGGACTTTTAGGACTAATGACAGTGGGAGTGTATATAATGTACTTTCTTTTCGTACCTGGCTTTCATAGTCCCTCTGGTTCAAAAATCGTACAGTACGTTCCTAACCTTAATATCTGTGCAAAAAGCTGCTATTTGGATGAGACTTGCATAGGATTTGGATACCCTGACAGAGTCTGCGTGCTGTATCATTCTTTTGCAGGAGGCACTCGTACCTATATTTATTTATGGGTAAAGATTAGCAATCCCGGTAAAATTATGCTACTTTTGTGAACCCACTTAGTCAGAGAGATAAATCTTTCAAATATAACGAATACGCATGCAAAAAAATTAGAGTAATAGGTGGGACCAAGTTGGTTTTACAACAGGGAGGTAAATCTTTTTAGGGTCAAACGTCCATCCTGATATTTCTCGACTGGCCATAATTGTTGGTCGATACAGGCTTATCGGTGAGGAAAAACCATTAAAAATTCATGATAAGAGAGCTTGTGTCAGGTACTGCTTTTCGAATCCTCGATGCGTTGCTTATCGATATGATCTAACTGGATGTCGACTATATAAAGGTTATGAACCTAGAAGTGATTATCCTATTACTATTTTCTTCAGAAGACCAGCACTTCTACTAGAAGGTAACATTTTACCTAATTATCAATGATACAAATGATAAAAAGGAGTGTTTTTGCATTTTCCTGTACAGAAAATAACGGTACGGTGAAGTGGATGATCAATATTTTTCACTTTGTTTACTGTAAAGGCATCTTTATTTTGATTTCTTCCGCATTTTTTGCTAAATTATTGTTTCTTAAAAGTCGTTCTCTAGTACGCTAGACAAAACAGGCCAAAGAAAGAGCAGAGAGTGACGAAATGATAATGGAAATTGCAACGTAAAATTTGCCAGCAGTGAACCTTTGGCATTTTTTAAACCTTTAGACGTGTCAAAAAGCAAGAATTTTTACAGAAATTTGATAACAGCGTTAACTCTTTCAGAGTAACAGTCGAAAATTCTACTACATAAAGTGGCAAAAAATGGCAAAAATTAGGCAACTTGTAACATTTTCAAAGCATATCGTTAGCTAGTCAATTCAGCTGACTTATCTGCATTGAATAATACCAGAAAGTTCACAGTTCTTTAGGGTCTCAAATAACCCTACTGATTTTTTTGACATCAAAATGAGCTGTGTCAGTTTTGAAAATATTTTATTCTTTTAATTTTGCTTAGTTTTTCTACTGCACAAAATAAATCTGCTTTTTTTTTTTATTTTTTTTTTTTGATAATAATGTTTTTTGAAAATTTTTTTTTGCAGAATCTGCAGTTTAAAAAAGTAAAAATTCTACTAAGAAATGAGACTTTTGTATAAAACACCTGTTTCTCAAGTAGATTAGTTCATTAAGAAAAACTTACAGTTTAATATATAACGAAATTATAATGAAATTTTCTTTGACTGCATCTACTTCCAATGACGGTCTAGTTTTTTTAGTTTCTTTGACGTATTCATTTTTATTTAAGAACGGGAAAGGTTACCTGTGTTTGCCTCACCATCGATTTTATTTGGGCGGTACAAACTTTATGGAGAAGAAAACCCACGACACATTCACGGACAACACTCATGTGCTGTCCACTGCTTCCGGAACCCTAAATGTGTTGCTTGGCGTTATAAGGACTCTGTGTGCAAAATCTATAAATCTTACGCTGCTGGAAAGGAATATCCAGTTACCAGGTTTTTCCAGAGACCAGTAGTCGCGCCAGGTGAGCAAAAGTTTTTTTAGTTTATTGCTTAATGATAAATAAATACCAGTATTTATCAGTAATTAATTAGCTATGCTTTATAATACTGAATCATAATGATTTAGTTGGGCTGGTATTGAAACTTTTGATCCTGCAGCTTGCAGTGGCGTAAACAGTGATTCTCTTTAATAAAATATTTTAGTCAAAAGAGAAGTTTATTTTAAAAATTTACATTTTTATAATTTAATAGCTAATTTCACACGCTTACCCGTTTTGGTAGTTTCGAACATGCACATATGCCAAATATTTTGTAGCAGTAGTAAATCGGATGACTTTTTGCTGTTTTTTTCAGATCGTTTTCGACACGGGGCTAAGTGTTTAGCAAGCTTAAATGAATTAAATTTTAATATTGCTCTAAAGCCAACTTTTTGCACGTGTTATCAAATCATTTTTTGGTGGCTTTTTTCTTGTCTACACGAATGCATCGGCAAATAACAATAAAAACGTTCTCAATTAACTACTGACACACCTTTCTCAAGTATATAAATAAAGTTTTCCACCTATTTGGTACATGACATTAAAACTGCAATACTTTTTGAGAGCAATGAAAATACGGGTCCTTGAGCATACTGATTATTCTGTAACCTTATTAGTTAATAATGGTTCCTCACAGATTACGGTGCGAACATATATTTGGGCATGCTTTTTAGGAGTAAGTTTTGAACCACGGTACATTAACGAGTTTGTTTACGCTCCTGGGAGCCACAATCCATCAGGGATGATGACTGTACCAAACATCTCAAATCAGGAAATGTGCGCTAAAGTGTGCTACTTTAATCCTATGTGTGTTGCGTTCCGGTACCATAATGGACTTTGCGCAGCTTACCGTATTCTATCTGGCGGTCCAAACGATGCGGTCGTTGACGTATGGCGCAGAGTAAATTCACCTAACATTTACAGTACGCAGTTGTTTTTATAACATATAATAGTATAGACCAAGTCATCCATCACAATTCATTTTTGCCATTTAACATCAGAAATTGAAAGTGTATTAAAATATAGAAGCTCAACACTTGGAAAATAATAGAGAACTTTTTAGAGCCTCCAGAGATACCACAATACCTTATCAGATTCGTTTATAAACCCGGACTTCATAAGCCGTTGGAGCAACGTGTTGTGCAAAATATTTTCAATAGGGAGTTATGTGCTCGAGCGTGTTACTTAGTCAAGTGGTGTAATGGATTTCAATATTACGGTGGAATTTGTACAACCTATCGTTCTATTACGAGTGGTCCAACTTTTGTCTACATATACCTGTGGGAAAGAATAGGTTACAGCTGCTTTTTTCTGATTTTGAAGCCTATTAAACGTTGTTTTTCAATTAGAATAAACAAAAAAAATTTCAAAAACTACTTTATAGAGCTTTATCAATATCTGTTTCATGGCGTTATCTATGATAAAATGTTACTGAGTAATAAAAAGAGTAAAACATGTACCGTGAAACTGTTTTTTTTTTGAAAGTTTTAAAAGAAATACAAGAATTGCTGCTATTTTCTATACAGTCAAAGACAGTTTGTCAGAAGAAAAAACGACGAATTAGAATGGTGATAATAAGAAATGCTGTTTTACTTCAGACTGTCAGTCGGCGTAGGCTTTTTCTTCATTAAGAGGGACACTTGAATAATTTTTTTGCTATACAAAAATATCTTCCTCACAACAAAAACGTCAAGAAAAGTCATCAGTGACGAGGAAGCGGAAAGTAAATATGAAAGCATTATTGGGTTCTAACTTTGTACACATCCTCCCAAAACGAGCAAGCAATACAAAGAAGTTATCTTCTCTCTAAAATATAAGAAGTTTTTTTCTGAAATTTTTTAATATGTTAGTTTTAATTCTGCCTTACAAAACTATTTCTGTATGAGATATCACAGTAAAACCAAACTGTGGGTACAATATATTTTACTCAAAGTAAATTTTTCTCGTCGAAAGGAACACGTTTGAAATTTCAGAACTAATTAGGGCTAATTTTTTTACAACTGAATTTGATAACGCAGTCATAAAGGAGAAAAATGTAAGCGCCAAAACCAAAATTCTTGTACAATAAGAAAAAAGAAGAACGCTGTTGCCTTGCAGAATTCTTTGCAACGGACAAACAATTAAATCCCTGCGCTTTAAAGAGCAGTTTTTTTAATTGGCTGCGACCATGTTGAACTAGTTTTTTCCAAACTCGCACTAGACGTCTCTCTTAGCCAAAAGTTAAACAAGACAAAAGAAGCAAATTTTGAAGTACACGCTACTTTCTAACAAATGCACAAGTTAGTCAAAAATTTAAAAGTTGAAGCAAAATTTCTGATAACAAAATCATCTTCAAAACGACAAATAATAATTTCTAACTTCTTAAAATTGATATTGCAAGATAGAATTTACAGGCATTGTTCAGCAGTATCTTCTTCAATTCAAATACCGCCCAGGACTATACAAAACATTCGGAATACGTAGATTATCAGCAATTTCGAGTGCTGAATTTTGCGCCAGAATATGCTACTTCAATCCCACATGTGTTGGATTTCAGTACGGCAAACAAATCTGCAATATGTATTCGTCTCTCACTCAAGGCCGACCTCGCGTTTTTGTTTTTCTATGGAAGAGAGCAAATATTCCTGAAACACGAGGTGAGCATTTACTGGAAAGTTCTGTGTAACTTTTAAGTATTATCTTCATTCTTATTAAAGTATATATATATATATATATATATGTAAACTAAATAAATATAATTATAAAAATAAATATAAAAATAAATATAAATATAAATATAAATATAAATATAAATATAATTAAATATAAATATAAATATAAATATAAATATAAATATAATATAAATATAAACATAAATATAAATATAAATATAAACAAATACCAATAATAATATTAATATTAATATTAATATCACCATTTTTATTACTATTATCGAGTAGATGACACTGTTAGATCAATTTTATTGGATAATTTTGACAGCAGTGTTATCAATTTTTTGATCGTCGAATAAATTAAATTTAAAAAAGAGAGCAAGTACTATTTTTCAGTTTTTACAACTTTTTTACTTTTGCAGATGCTTAATTTTCTGAGAATTAAAATTTAGCTGTCTCGAGGTATTGTTTTTCGACTGCCGTCAATTGGTGAAGCGTCTCTTTAAAGTAAAAAAGTTCTGAAAAAATACATTATTTTTATTCAGAAAAGATATATATAAAAAATAAATAAAAAATAATATAATAAAAACAGAAAAATATGTGAGACTGGAAAGATTTATTATTTTTACGGTAGTCTCACTAATTTTATAGTGTCGAAACCATCTTCAGCTGGTCGTTGGGCAACAAAGTTTTGCTTTCGAATTAATTGCGAAAAATTTGTTTAAAGAGTTATGCGTTTCCTGAAATTATTAGCAAACTATTATTCTGTTGTAAGGGACAGTTTTTATTCTATTATCTTTTGTTTCTCGCCTATATCTTGTTAAAATTATGCAGTTAGTGCATATTCTGGAATCAATAAGAAATCTAAGAACTGACTTTTTCAGCTAGTCAGCCACTAGATTTAAATTTTTCTTAAAGTTTCTATGTTCTAGCTGATTATAGGACCTTTATTACATAATGCCAAAGAAGAAGAACTATGAAACAAGCTCATGCTTGCTTATAAAACCAAAATTTTGAAACGTAGACTACGAATACTCTTCTGAGAATCTAGAATTTTCTTTCTTCACTGATGCCTCAAACGTCAAAACCAAACTTCCATGTCTCCTGCACTCCTCCCTCACAAATCTGCTGCATTATAAGTTCTGTGGCATATTAGACATCTTTAGTGTCTTTGTTTCTTGTCAATTAGATGTACTTTACTGGCCATCATATGCAAAAAGCAAGAAAAAATACAATAAGGGCTAACCCTTACAACTTTTCAGAATAATAATTTGCTAATATTTCTGAGAAAAACATCTTCAGCACTTGAAACAGATCAGAGTTGTCAGCAGCTTCTCGCCGTTTGCAAGAACAACTGAAGACGGTTTTTGCGGCTGTAAAATTAGTAAGGTTACTGTGTGGAATAACAAATTGTTTTTTCAGTTTCATGTTCTTTTCCAACTCATTACTCTGGACTTTGGAAAAACAACATTACCGATTTATGGTATGTTATAAAGCAAAAAACTCAGCACAAAATATGTTCATTCAAAAAACTTAAAAGAGCTTTTTTTTTTAAGATATATTATTGAAATCTTCTTGTGTTGCACTCATAAATTCTTAACAGATTTAAATTATACAATGTTTATTTTAAAGCGAAAAACATAATCTAACAACCAGAAAACTGTTAAATTTTGTTAAGGCTGAGTTTAACTGCAAGACTTCAAAACAGACATTTCTAGATGCAACCTGGCAAATTTTGTGTCTTTTTAAGGATATAACTTAACAGCGAATCCAATTTTTCAGAAGTTTTTTTCGAGTTTATGTATACTGGTCTAGATCCTACTAACCAGCCAAGTGTAAAAAATTTCTGAAAATGCTAAATGAAAAAGTGTAGCAGCTGAGATGTATTAGCTCAATTATAGCTTTCACGCTTTGGCAGGAATCTGAAAATCGCAGTTTTGCGAGTAAACCCGTTAATTTGCTTTAAAAATTGTCAAAAAATTCTTTTACGTTTATATAACGATTCAGTGTTGGTTGCTGAAACAAAATTATAATAAAGGCTAAACAAAACTTCTTAGAGGTAATGCAAAGATATTTATGATATCGCCTTGGCGTGAAATGTACGCACTTCTTCACTTTAAATGTTGCTATATGTTCTCAGGAAATTATGAAAGTGAAGTAGCGCGAGAGTTCTACTTTTTCTGAATCAATTTTTTGCTGAAGAAATAATGAATAATATGGCAATAGCCAACGTATATAGATGAGTAATTCTTTTCTAATTTTATGCCAAACTGAAGAAAATTACCATTAGAATCTAAAAAACTACGATACTGACAGTTATGATTTTTCAGAACCAACATTTGCATATTTATATCTTCGCGAGTTTGTATACGCTCCTGGATTTTACACGCCTTCACGTCAATTACTTGTAGCGAATGTTTTGACCGGTGAACTTTGTGCTAGAATATGTTATTTTAATGAACTATGTATTGGATTTGAACACGGCCGAGGAATATGCATTACATATGACTCGCTTGTTGGAAGAGGGAGCCCTGTATATGTGTATTTATGGAAAAAAAATCCAGTAGCTGTAAAAGACAGTGAGTGTATTTTTTCTGAACGGTACATTGTATAAACGTGCAAATAACTTGGAAAGACGAATGTATTTAGAGCCGCTAGGTCCAACGTTCCTCCCAGAATTTATATATCTGCCTGGGTATCATTTACCATCCGGAGAAAGAATCGTACCAAATGTGCTTAACAAAGAATTATGCTCTAGAATATGTTATTTTGATTCATTGTGCGTTGCTTTTCAATACATCAGTGCTGTTTGCACAACATACCGATCAATCTCTGAAGGTCCTACAAGTGTATATCTTTACTTGTTTCGAAAGAGAGTTCTACCTGAAAAGGAAGGTGAGCGTTATTATGATTAGCTTTCAACTTTTATGCTTTTGGAACAAAGTGAAATGTGCTTCTGAATCTTGCATTATCCCGCCTTAGCAGCCACATGCGTAAAAACAAAGAGTGTTTGCTCTTTCCTAAAAATCTGCAATGCTCTCTAAAAAAACTTTTCGTACAAAGATTGTCTCTTTGAGCAAAGTCAAATAAACAAGAGTCGATTAGATTTTTGGCATCATTATGACGTGTGCAGTTTCTCGGTTTGCCTTTGGTGACGCAAGTTTTTAGCATCTGCCTTATCATCATTTCTGAGTCCTTGAAGTAGAAATCACAGTGATAATCGCTTGGAAAGCTGCTGAAACTTTTCTAGCTATTCTTTTCTACATCACTCCATATTCATGATTTTGGATTAGTTTGCTACTGTATCAGGGATGAAAAAGGGATAAAAAAGTGCTAATAAGCAAACCGGTAAAGCTGATGAATATGATGGTGGTAAGTTCATTGAGGATATTTAAGAGAATGGGTAGACTGAAAATCTACAGTGCGAGATTGTGCTCAAAAGGTTTAGTGTTCTTGAATGAAAAAGATGAAAATACTGCGAAAACTACTTGCATACGATTTCTTATCACGCGAAGCAACCTTTGAAGTGAATTTTTTATTGTTACATTCATATGTTAACTGTTTTAGAAGAGCTGCCTATCCGTCAACAAATCAGAGGGTTTGTTTATGTTCCGGGAAGTCACCTGCCGATAATACTTCAAAGTATACCTTATTTGGTGAATGCTGAATCATGTGCTCGTGTATGTTATTTCAACCACTTATGTGTCGGATTTCAATATGGTCGTGGAATTTGCGTTCTTTACCGCTCAATTTCATCTGGAGAAAATCCTAATTATATCTATCTCTGGCTGAAAAAACCAGCAAAGAAGAGAAGCGGTATATAACTGATGCTTCTGAATTCAAGAAATAATATATAGTTGCAACTGCATAATAATTTTCTGTTTTTTGGATTTCTTTTACTTCATCTTAACGAAGCTGTATTTAGAAGCACCGGGAGGCTCGTCTTACATAACACAATTCGTTTTTGTCCCGGGGTATTACAAGCCAGTAGGAAAAAAAAACATACGTCATATAGTGGATAATGAGGTCTGCGCTAGAAGCTGTTACTTCAATCCTTCCTGTATTGCATTTAGTTATGAAAATGAAAACTGTTTTCTTTACGACTCGCTTCATGAAGGCCGAACTAGCATTTATATTTATCTATGGATAAGAAACAGCGTCCAAGTGGCATACAGTAAGTGTAGTAAAATTTGACATTTAAATTTTAAAGAACTGTGAAAGAGTTAACTAAGAAGTTTTAGATGCACCAAAATACTTAAAAAAATTTATGTATGTTCCTGGATATCATGAAACATCGGGTGGCGAAACGGTGCCTAATATACTTAATGTAGAATTGTGCTCTAAAACTTGCTATTTCAACCCATCTTGCGTCGCATTTCATTATGTCAACCGGAATTGTGTTACATATTCTTCAACGCAAGGAGGGCCTCGTCTTTTCCTTTACTTATGGTTGAAGGCGAAACGTCAGATGGAAGTCGGTAGGCAGACTGTACTGTTGAAAGCTTGTTGTTTGCAGTTTCTCATTTTCAAAACTGATTTTTTTCTGTTGAAGTTTGCTTGGTTTTTTTTCTCAGCACGTTAAAAACTTTGATAAAATCTAAAAATACCATTTAGAACCAAGTGACGGTCGACATTACTTGATTCATTTCGTTTATGCTCCTGGGTATTATATGCCATCAGAGCCGAAATTTGTGCCAAATATGATAAACAAAGAACGTTGCGCTAAAACCTGCTATTCTAATCCGTTGTGCACGGGTTTTCACTACGGATTGCGTGTGTGCGTTACATACCGGTCGGTCTCTACAGGTCCTACTCGAATCTACGTTTATCTGTGGCTGAAAAAAGCCCGTCCCGGAAGGAACAGTAAGCGGTAGTGGCAGTGTAGCTGCACATTGCAAAACGCTGCCCTTTATGCTCTCATCTCGTTTTCCTCCTGTTACAGCATTCTTCATGCTTTCTTTGTCTTCTTGCTTCATTTTCTTCCCATCATACCCTTGAAAAGTTTTGGCTGTTTTTTTAAGCTGCATGTTTAAATTTTTTAGGGACGACTCACGGACAACATTACCTTAAAAAGTTTCTTTACTTACCCGGGTATTACACGCCGCAAGGAAAACAACTTATACCGAATATTCTAAATGGAGAACTTTGCTCAAGATTGTGTTATTTTAATCCAACGTGTGTAGGTTTCCAGTATGATGACGAAGAATGTATAATTTACCGAACAGTTACGCAAGGCCCCACCCGTTCCTACATTTACTTGTGGATGAGAAAAGGATTATCAGGAGGATATAGTAGGTTTTCACTTATTAGATGTAAAAGAAGTTCTAAAGTTATCTTTAGACATTACGCACTTAAAGTTTACGCTTAACTAAAAAGGAATGTTCAGTATCACCGGAAACTGTGGAATACATTGGAAAATTCACATACGTACCTGGGTATTTTAAACCATCAGGACGAACTACCGTTTCAAATATTTTAAATAGCGAACTTTGTGCCGAAATTTGCTACACTGATTCATCTTGTGCAGGATTTCAATATGCTGATGGTGTTTGCATAACTTATCGTTCATTCCTTCAGGGCCCGTCTCTTGAATATGTTTATTCATGGATTAAAAAAGGGTTACCTGGACAAAGTAGTAAGTTCAGTACATTTCAAAAAACCTTTCTAAGCTGCACTTTAATTAATCATTGAACCAGAGCAGATGTCTTTTAATTGAAAAGCATTGTTTAGTGAAGCCTGAAAGGCGGAAATATACCACTCGTTTTATCTACCTCCCCGGTTATCATAAACCATCAGGAGCAGTCATTGTGCCTGAACTTTACGACGTAGAATCGTGTGCAAAAACATGTTTCTTCAGCTCTTTATGTGCAGGATTTCAGTACGCCGAAAGAATATGTACAACGTACCGTTCAGATTCACAGGGACCAGCTACGATTTACGTATATCTATGGCTGAAAAAAGGGACATCTGCTGCATCAAGTTAGCATTGTATCAAATCTATATTTTAGTTTACTGCCGCATTGATAGAATACTATTCAATTATTTATGGTAAACATATTGTTAGGGGAACAGAAATAATATTGTTTAGGTCTTCCAGTCAATCGGTTTTATCTTGCTCAGTTTATATATGCTCCTGGTTACCATAAACCGTCAGGAGACTACAGAATTATCGACATTCCAAACCTGGAGTTGTGTGCTAGAGCTTGCTATTTTGATCTGTCATGCTCTAGTTTCCAATACTCTCAAAATGCTTGCACCAAATACCGTTCAATTTATTCAGGAAGCAGACGCGTATACATTTACTTGTGGAGGAAAGCTGGCTTACCGGATAAGAAAAGTATGGTGGCGTGCTTGTCTATTAATCATACTTCTTCATGCCTATTGTGTCTGTTCGCAGTATCTACTTGTCTCGAACTGACTGCACAGAAGTTTCTCTTACCATCTTCATATTTCCTTTCTGGTTTTCCACTTTTAGGACTATTTTACTCTTTTCTTCTGCACGGTGCAAGAAAAGAAAAATAAAGCAGGTTTTTCGGTATCACAAAAAAAGCTTATCTGTGTTCTGATAACTTGGCGTTGTTGTTGCTCACAGTGTCACGAAAGTTTTTCTACAAACATTTTTTAGAGTAAGCATATACTCCAAGATTTTCTGCTGTCTTTTTTTTAATGCCTCGGTTTTTTTTTTATTCTTTGTTGAGCCGTGCCACCTGAAGAGCTGACGTAATTAGGGAGGGGCAAGCGAAATCACAACTTTTTAATCACAATTCGTTGTCCTTGAAAATAATAAAGAAAGGTTTTAAAGTAACTTTTCTTGTATACTGAGATGTTTTATTTTTTAGTCCATTATTAATCAGCAAAGTTTTAGTGAGGTTGCACACGTAAAAAAAAGGAAAAAAAATGACGAGTAAAACTGAATGAGAAAAGTCTTAGCGACAAAACACTTGTTATGCGGTATCACCAGCAGTTAAGTTTTTGGAATTGTTTAGAGAACGATACAAATATTAATAGCGACCTATTTAAAAGCACAGAAGGGACATATAAATTGTTCTAAAACTGTGGCAAAAAAAAACAGGGTAAAGTTATAAGTTCTACATAAGAAACTGAAAAAAATATAGGGAATAAAACATTTTGAAGTTGGCACAATATGCTGCCATATATATTTTTCTCAGATGACAAGTTGAAAGCACTTCGCGATAACAAGGCATATATTTTCCCAAGTGCAATGCAAGTGAGTACTGTGACTTTGATCTTTTATCAATTCAAATGGAGTTGATTGAGGTGCGTAACTCTCATTTTTTTTATTCAACAGACATTGGGGTTATTAAAAATTACGGAGAAGAGTGAATCATTCTGCCTTGTACGTTAGCTGGTTTTCTAAATTCGATTTTGAAACATGCTTTGAAAAATTTTTAACATGGCTTATGAATAATGCATAAGCGCTGTATAGAATTGATAAAATTTTTGTAGAAACGAGTTTGCGTACTTTATTCCGCTTATGCAGTTGTCTTATGGACTAAAAAAATATTTCTCAAATTTTTACGATCTATTGTTTTCTTAGAAAAAAATTCGTTAGTGCAAACTACTCTAAAAGTTTCGTTGCTCTTCTAGTACTTCGTCCTTATCCGGAAGAGCAGTATCGTCTGCTTGGAGAATCACTGTTTGAGAAAATTATTCTTGATATTGATACTAAAGTGTAAAAAGCAGAGTTGATCGCAAATTAAAAAGTTCGCTGTGCTACTTGATTTTACTGGCCTTGGGGAACAAATGCACGCGGAAAACTTTCAGTTATCAAGATTACATTCCTTTTCTTAATTTTAAGACCTAAGCTCTCCTTTGCAATAGAAGTGCAATAAAAGATTTGTCTAACTTTCTGTATCAGCCAGTAATGTTCATTTTTTTCTGTTTTTTAAATAACTGAGCAGTTCAGGTCTGGTGGGAAGTCGGCGGTACCTTATTGAATTCATTTATGTGCCAGGATTTCACCAAGTAGGTGGACCAGAAATTACACCGGGTATTTCTAATGTAGAGCTCTGTTCGAGAACGTGTTATTTTGATCCTTCTTGTGAAGGGTTTCAGTACTCTCGTGGAGTGTGCACTACCTACCGTTCGATTTCTCAAGGAGGAAGACGATTATACATTTACCTTTGGAGGAAAAGAAGTATACCAGGAGAAAAAGGCAATTATTTTATTTTTTCTAGATAAGATGTTGTATAGTTTATTTGCAAGATCACGTTTAAGGATCTTGCCATAGAAGCGAAAAATGAATTTAGCTTTTCCAATGAAAAATGTTTGTTTGCGGATCCTTACTTTAAAACCAGACACAGTATAAATTCAATTCTACCACTTTTTTGGAGATTTTAGTAAATGATTTGAGTCTGCAACTGCATTAAATTCTAAGCTTTTATTGGAAGCTGTAGTCTTACACAAGTTGTATCACGGGTATATTGAAATAGCCTTAAAAAGTAGGCAACCTAAAACTGCTTTTTTTTCAATTTTTTCCTGACTTGTTTGGTTCACGGCTATAGTAATCGTTCTTGACTGCGTGAACCACTTCCTTTGAAGAGTGAAATCTTTTATACCTAAAAAACATGCTGTTTGAAGTTTTCAGCTAGGCCACCTAAGACCATCTTGCCGTGCACCTCTTAACTTAGCTTTAAAAATGTCTTATGCGCACTGCTTCAATGCTTTTCTTGCTTTCATTAAAAAAATGCGAAAAACTCGTTTAATACGAAAAATGGTCATTATTTAAAATTAAGGATTTAAGCAGTTTTTTTAGCTGTCAAATCTCTCGTGAGCCAAAAATAAAAGAACGCATTATCTGAAGCGTCAATTTAATGTTAACTTCTTTAGACATCTAAGGTTTATCTCGCTTATAATTATCCGCTTTAATTATTTTAAAAAATATATTGGCAAGCCCGACGGATTCAGCCAGCTCAAAATGTTGCCGCTACCCACTAATTGTGCCATTTTCTCCTCAGAAAATTAGTTTACTTCACTTCCATTTTCATTACTTAAGACACAGAGCGACTCAAGCATTTATAAGATTTATCAATTTTAGGTTATTTTTTTTTAAATTATCTTCAATCGCTGTTTAGAGTTGTTGGGCAATAAAAGATACCTTGCCGAATTCATTTACACACCAGCCTATCAAAGACCGTTGATACTTGAAGTGGCAGCTCATAATCTCAATATTGAGCTGTGCGCAAGAGCGTGCTACTTTAATTCGCTTTGTGTTGGATTCCAGTTCTCGCGCGGTATATGCACCAGTTATCGTTCAATTTCAAATGGAAATGTTCGTGTTTACGTATACTTTTGGAGAAAAAGAGATATTCCAGACAATCAAGGTATCAACAATTAAAGTATTAGTTTAAGATTACAATTCAAGGTCATAACAAATCGAAGAAATCGTGTGTCTTCTCACTGCCTTTGTGAATTTTGTGTTCAAGCAGTATTTTTTTTTTTTGAATTATCCTCAGTTAAGCTTTTTTTAAAGAAGCAAAGTAAGTTAATCATTTGCATTTACCTGTAATCACATCTATTGATCTGCTACCATGTCAAAAAAAAGTTTCATTAGTTGGGACCTTAATTGTAAAAAGAAAGTTTCATTAGTTGGAACCTTAATTGTCAACCTTAAGAATTCCTAGCCCTTATAGCGTAAGTTTTTGCGAAAAAATCATTATTTAGGTTTACTGGGAGCACGAAGATATCTGATTGAGTTCGTTTATGTCCCCGGTTACCACAGGCTTTCTGGAAGAGAGAGTACTCCAAACATCCCAAACGTTGAACAGTGTGCAAGAATATGTTACTTTAGTGCAATTTGCCTCGGTTTCCAGTATTCTCAGGAAGTATGTACCACGTTTGCTTCTGTTACAGATGCAGAAGAACCTCAGTTTATTTATCTGTGGAGGAAACAAAAGCTTCTTCCAGGAGAAAGTGAGTTTTGGCAATATTTTTCTAGCGGATAAAATGTTTAAAAAGCGCGAAGATTCAAAATGACGAGGTTTTATTTGAAAATTAATTATTTCATCAGTAATTTATAAGTATAACCTTCGCACAAAAAATTAAAGCATACAAAAGTACTGGTGTCCCCCAGAAAACTTTTGACCTAGCTTTCACAATCCACGAAAAAATTTGGAAGAGCGTCCTCCCCAACCGACGAATACTAAAACGTAACAAAAAAGTATAGTGAGTGGAAATCATTTATGGCTGACGGTATTAGAAGCTTCTCATTGACCGTTGCTAATGCATGCACTCAGCCAACGAAAAACTATTTTTAATGCAATTACCATTCCAATTCTTTTGCTACTTTACATTCTTTCATAAATGCCATAACGCTTTACTCACCAAATTAAGTGTAAAGAAGTACAGAATCTTCACACAATTTTTTTTTTGGTATATTCTCTTTTTTCACCCTTGAATTAAATGGCAGTAACGGAAAATGAGAAATGACTAGCCAAAAGTTTGACTTCTTATGCAAAGTGCCAAAAAACTCAAAATTATACAACAAGAAAATTGCAAAATGTCCACTATTTTGAAATTTATTTCTTAAAAATCTTGAAAGTTTTTGTTGAACAATTACTTCAAGTTTTTTCAAAATTGTTTTATAATCTTCAATTTTGGGCTCAAAAGTTGGCGAAAAGTAAAATAACATGTCGACATGTTTTCTATGACTGTATTCTTAAACAACACTGAAAATTTGGCAAGGAAATAAAGATTTCAGTGCAAGATTCTGATGTACAAGCCGCTGAACAGATAAAAGCCATAAGATAAAGCCGTAAAGCGGCACTTTGTACAGAGAGAATAAAAGCTACAACAGCACTACTTAGTTTTTTGATCGGTTGCTTCTCATTACTAAACTAACAGTCGACCTGACTATCGTTTGATTAGATGTATGGAGGCTGATCTGTGAAGAAGTAATTATAAGACCAAAAGGGGTTACGGGAAAAATTAAAAAAGTACAATAATTTTTATTTAGTTTTTTCATTTACAAAGTTTAAAGAATGCTTTTGAGATACTACAGAAAACTCATAATTATAATCAGCCATTAAGAGCCCAGTGCACAGCCTTTCAGCAAAGTCCAACAATTTACATGTTAGACCAACAAACATTTAAATTCGTCGTTAATTAGTTGACTGGCTGTAAAATTACCTAATACTGAGAGAAGTTGAAAAAACATATTAGCAAAATCTGAGAGATGAATTTTTTTAAAAGTAAGAAGTGATTTAATGGATAAATCCACTTCGCTTTTTCACACAGTCTGCGTCATTCAAAAAACCATCTTTGCAACGGATGATAACAATTTCACGAATTCTACATCAATTTAAAAACTTCCTTCTAAACTTGTTCGCAAAGAACCCAAAAAGCCTAACTGTTGTTTAAAATATGTCAGTTTTCTTTATCATCATGTAAATTTCTCTTGAAAATCTGATAAACAATAAGCAGCAAAAAACAGCCTAGTAGTTAGACTCATTAAGAAAGCGCAGCTGAACAACGTGCTCGGTGGTAATGCATTCACGATAACTCCTTTCTCTGTTAGATGCTGGTGAAGCTACCATCCCAACCGAATCCACATCAGCACAGATTCGAAAACTGTGCTTGGTGAAATTTTGACAGTATTTCTTATTAGTAGCGAGTTGATGAAAACGCAAGATGATACACTAGCAAACTAGTTAGATTCTGTGTACAATATTCTGCGTGATACTTATTCAGTTTTGAGAAAGACCAACCTAATGCATCTCTAGCAAGATAGTGTCAACGAAGTTTGAGCTAATAAAACATAGAAAACTCGAGAAAAAATAGAACAGAATTATGCGTTATAAAACAGAATTATACAAGGTAATTTTTTCTACATGACCCCGGCCTAACCCTTCTCCATTTCCGCTTTTTCCCATGTAGATGGCAGAATGGAAATGCTAAAAATAAATTCAGAAAAAAATTTAGACAACTTCCCATATCCGGCTCATAGCTTAAATGCTGCTATATCAAAATGATGATTATTCTTACCTATAGCTTCGTTCCAGCAGCAACTCTACTTCAGAACATTGAACGACCTCCAAAAAGATATACGTCTCACGCTACAGAAACCTAGTAATTGATACCACCAAATCTTACTTTTTGCAAAACGAAAGATAACAGCCACAAAATCTAACCAATTACTCATACTCCGTAAAGTGGTGAATAATTTTTTATCTTTTATTCGATTGAATAGACACTACCTCCCACCAAAACGATGTATCGGCCTACTTATCAAAATTGTTTAATTACTAGTTCGGCTAACTAGTTATAATTTCTATAACTTCTTTTAAAGTTTATAGTTTAAAAAAAAGAAAATTTTACTTAGTCCATAATATTTTTAAGACTGTTTATTTGCATAGCCTCTCGCTTTAAGCCCATTTTGAAACACTTAAATCACTCAGAAAATTGTATATAAACTAAATACGGATTTATAGATTGTTGCCTTGTAAGGTAAGTGCAAGTATATTGTTCTTCCATGTAAAAAAGAGAAGAAAAAAGTTAAAAAGAAATAAATTAATAATAAAAATAATAATAATAATAATAATAGTAACAATAATATCAATAATAATAGTAGTAGTAGCAATGAGCAGTAGTGGTAGTATAAAAAGAATAAATGAAAATAAACGATGAAGAAAAAAGCAGTAAAAAATTTGAATGGTACTATTTCCACTCTGTTCCAGTT